AGAATTTGTCAAACGTATTCGAAAACACCATCCTTTAAAGTTTTTCACAAATGAATGTGAATTAAAGTAGCTTTTTTACGAATTTGTGAAGTACAATCAAGTATGTAAAGTGGATATTCTTTTAATGGCGAGACCATAATGGACTTCCGGTGCAGTGTACCGAGGAACCGCACTTGCTTTCAGAAGCTAGTGGTAGGAATTGAGAAAATGTGTTTTCCGACGATTGATTTAATGTTATTATAGTTTTCCGAGTCAAATGTAGAGGGGTTGCTGTGAGGATGCATAATTAATTATTTTTTGGGATCATAAATAGTTTTTTCCGAAGCAAAATAAGATTGTATTTCATCACTGAGTTTGCGCATTTCGCTAGATTGTAAAGTATAAACAACTTTCGACCAGACAATATGACATGTAAGAAAAATCGGAATTGCTTTATTATTTTGCATAAATGTGTAAATAATTTTGGAAGTTTCCTTGATTTTACGTGTTTTCAGAGTACACACTATCAAGATCTATATAATGTTCTATCTAAAACTCATTTCATATCAAGAAGAAGATAACACTACAGATCTGCAGACTTTTTATGTATTTTTTAAGAACATGTAAGTTGCGTCTAGGGGTAACGTTTTATCTGATTTGGACATGAGGGTGTTCTCAAAATGAAGATTTTACTCACTCTGCGAAGAAAAAAAACTGAAGAAACGAGAGAGATCAAATTAAATCGTGCATGTTTTACAAAAAAGTGACTGAAAACTATACCTTTTTAAAGTTTTTCAAATTATTTTACTTTTCCAAGTGTTTAATAGCCCTCGTACCTTCTTTGTATATTGTTTGTTTAAACGTGTGCGTTTTGATCGTCCAAATATTTTGGCATGATTCGAAATTGCAAGTTTATTGTAGACATAAAAAGTTTTGTCTAAAATATGCTCTCTAACATTCACTTTTCCTCCGAACTTTTGATGATACTTTCATCGTGAAGTGATTACACACAAACACTTAGAGTAAAGCGTTTCACCCACCGTATAGACTTGTGTGAACTTTATCATTACCAGCTTCTCTATCTGCTTTTTTATGGGAAAGTTAGAAAACACAACTTGCTACTGTTGATTTGTTTTTAATTGAACTTAACATTTAACCATTTAAAAATAACACATATTTTTTAGTCTATATAAAAATATGTTGCATGTAAAACAAAATATCTATCCGCTTACATTAGAATCAAAAAGTCAAAAAAGTATAGCACAAAATATAAATAATTCTTTGTTGCATAAATCTTTTAATATTTCTAAAGTTATAGCATGTCAGAATTCTATTTCAAAACAAGAGCAACGCTTACAAGTCTCGCCAATAAAAAGCAGAAAACAAATTCTAAAAAAATCCATTTTTTTTTGTCCAGTTTTTCTTTTGTGTAATAAACATGCAATTTCAGAAATAAAACGTGCACAAAAATGCACACATACCTGTTGAGTGAAACTACAGAAGTACAGCAGCCGCGGATAAAAACACGAACTAATAATATTTAGCACCGTGTAATTTCCGCTTTGCTCGGCGGAAGTGAATCACATTCGAACTGATACGGGATAGAAATGTACTTGTCTGATTATTTAAGAGCTCTAAGTCTAATCCTGGATGGACACTAGCTGTCTTGTGTTGAATGTTTGAACATCGATGGAGGATTAATGTTTCGCCTGTGTTTAAAATGTGAAATGGTTCTATATATGGCTTTCCTTTGCCCTTTTCCTTGTTAAGCGATTTTAGATTGTATTTATGTATCTAAACTATAGTATGATTTCCTTTTTCCTTTCAGTCTTAAAAAAGATATTGAAGTTTTCCATGAAAAAAAATTTCTTCCCAGAAGTATTTGTAAATATTTTCATCATTTAAAGATCATTGTTCTGCTAGCATTTGGAAAAAATGTCCTGGTTTTTTAATAAATATTCTTTTCAGGTAGTCATTAAAACCTAGTGTGGGGTGGGGTGGGGTGAGGCTAGGCTGCAGCTATCAGATTTTTATATAAAAGTAATTGTATACTTGGTTTCATCTTTTTTTTAATGCAGAGACGCTGGTGTCGAAACTTATCAAAATTGTGTTGAAACTTGTATCTGACAAGTACTACTTAACCCTGTCAAATACTTGTGTTCACTCTTTGAAAAAGACCCGCCCATGGAACTTTCTAGAATGCCATGTCAGTTCTCGCGCTTAGGCTGGGGTCATCCGAAACATCGGACTTTTCCCAGAAATGTATGTGCAAAAAATAGAGAGAGTTTTAAAACTTAGATGTCAAAAAAGTACAAAGAAAATGGGATTTTAGAGCCCTCTAAGCAATGTTATACCGGTATATAACTTGTTAGCTATGATAGTCTGACGTATGATATTCATCTACTGTTTCTGGGGTCTGCCCTTTTGTTAGACAGACGTTCGATTACATTAGTGTTTCTAACTGTTGATCTTAGAAGCATCCATTGTTCCCTGTACGTAATAAACCATAGCAGGGCTTCCTCGATGTAAGTGTTGATCGATCATTGCGATGTCACCTACGATGAGCAAAAATTATAAATCTGACAAAAAAGGATTAATGGGTTAAGTTTAATGATATCGAGAATGAGGCTTGAATATATTTGTTATTTTTTATATTTAAATGTGTGTTTTGTCTGTCAAAGACTAGAAAGACTACCTTAAATGCATCAGTATTCGTTGTTGGTTGATCTGTTCCTCAAAGTTTCTGTTTGTATAAACTTGTATAAGTTAACCCTTTTCTTGTTTAATTAGTTTATGCCGGTATTGACAGTAGTCTTGCAGACCTTTTTTTGCCCGTACACGTAGATAATGAGCGGATATTTGGTATATTTCAGGACTAACTAACATATATTTTGGTTATATTTCAGGACTAACTAACATATATTTTGGTTTTATGATGATGATCAAGCATTCTTATGCATATTTTAAAAGACGCCGAACCTTGATTCCGTAAATTCACGTTCTCCAAGTCCCGCCCACTTCTCTTTTCTCCTGTCTCTGCATGTGTAATTTATCGATGAAAAAGTGGCTTAATTTAGGAATCAAGTATTTTTACTATTTGTTTTATCTCGAACAAGAATTTTTAGAATTTTAACATTACTTTATTTTGATAACATACAGATCTTGTCGACAATCGAAACTCGGCCTCCTCCGTCAAGTCGAGACGGAAAAGGCCGAATGATGCCCCGATTGTCTTGTCGATCGACCAATTCGTACAAGAGTTATTGCCCTTAGATGTAGAAGCTTTCAAATTTCCGAACCATATTTCTTATTATGGTTTGAAAGTTTAAATTTTTTACTTTAAGGTTTAAGTATTTTTTTCCATTGACCTTTTTCACAAAACGATTTTGTCTATAGTGAAGACTAAAAGAAAATTATTTGATAAACATTGGGGGGGTGCATATAGATTATAAGCTGATTTTTCAAATGTCACTTTCCCGCTGAAACATGGATGAAATATTTAACAATAAACAATCAATCAATCAAATGTTACTTTCAGATCAAGTCGATGTTGATGTTGATTGGCCTATTCTAATGAAAGATATTGCCTTTACACATTCAATATTTTATCTTTTGATGCAAATAATCTTTGTTCTAAAAAAAGATCCTGTACAAGGAGGCTTATCCACACATGTATGAGTGAACAATTCTCGATAGGGACTTTAAAGAACACACAAACATGTTCAAGGATTTCCCGGAAAACATTTTACATAGTAGTCAAAGAATATAGCAAAACGTGATTTCATCGTGTAGGTAATCTTTTTATATAAGTGGAAATGTTGAAGCTATTTCTTCATTAAGATTTTTAAACAACCTGTGCCAGCTTATGAAATGACAATACTATGAGACGATAAACTAAAATATACATACATGTACAAATTTAATCCGGTGTAGGGGATATACTAAGTATTTTTTTTATTTTAAAAATCTTCAATGTGAATACAGTACTTAAAATGAAATCTAACCACATCATTACGATCAGATTAGAGGGAATATTATTTTGCTCGCCTTTCTTTCTGTCCAAATCACTTTTTAAAAAAGGGGGATGGAAATAGTTCCAATTATTACAAAAAGTACTTCCTGTAAAGGTAGAGAATTTTAATTGATCCATAGATAGGAATTTTTGTTCATCATCTTCGTCGATTTAAAGATCTACTTAATGAAAAACAAATCTTTACGTCGCAATAGTTTTGATTTTTAAAAATTAATCGCTACATTTATTAATATGTTTTCACAATAATCTTCTTAGTATAAAAAAGAATCAATTTTCTTGTTAGAAGTCAACAAAGAATTGTGTGACCGCATTGGCTTAAAAAATTCTATTAGTACTTTATGTCTTAAAAGCGGTCGCGAATAAAAATTAGTTTCGTGAATATTGTATATATGTGCTGAAAAAAAAGATCCTATTTACAGAATTTAATTTAATTTTTAACTGTTTATATACTTTCCAGTGTTTTGTAAATACCTGGTACTACTGATAAACATGACAGTTAAAGTCTTAGTTATACTTTCTTTGTGGCATTGCATGAAGCCAATAAGCAAAACCAATATTATTTTGAAGAAAATTTGGGGAAACAGGAGTATTTTGAGAAAATCTTCAAAAGGAAAAAAAAATATTGAGTTGTATTAGATGTACTATTTTAATCCCTCTTTTAAGAAAAGTGAGACCAGAGAGAATTGATAAAATATTAATATGAATGAACTTTTAAAAGTGTCACATAGTGTATATAAGAGAATAAACAATCTCAACAACATGGAAAAACTAGCATTCATTGATTGTAGCAAAATTATAGTTACATGTTTTATGAAAAACTGTTTAGATTTTGGTGTCAGCTAGGATCATAAATCATTAAATTAACAAGCGCTAGTAATAATTCTTGGTCAAACGCCAACTGTTCTCAGTAGAAAGGAAAATTAGTTTAGGATAGTTCAGTAATGCATTGACCAACGAAAACATGAAAATACACTTTTATTAATTTTAGGAAGTGCCTGCAAAATTGTGATCTGTACGACTGGAATAGACGATCGAAAAGTGCTGAAGGTGGCAAAGTTATCCTCCCATTACTGGAGCAAAGTAACTGCTTGGAACCAACGATAAGAAAAGCACTAAATTCCGCGAATATTGCTGAATGGGAAATAGTCCACGTCAAACTACCACCTTCCAAGAAGAACCATGTAGCCACTCCCTACCAACAGATGGTATGTGGTATAGAGAAGTTTCTGAGGGACCGTGACTTAGTGCTCACGGAAGAATTGAGAAATGACATTCCGAGACATTGGGAACGCCATGGTGATTTGGTCATGTTTGGGGGCTGCTTCCAAGAGCCTTTCTGGAAACAGTTTGGTAAGATTGATTCTCCAATGGAGCGACAAAAATAGAATGGTAAAGATAGTATCTAGTCAGTAATTAGCCGAGAGAGGGAGAGAACGAAATCAATGTATTATGGTATCTTTCAGAATTTCGTAATCAAAATGTTATTTGTCATAGTCATATCTCTTTATAAATCAAAACAACGATTCTTTGAAAATTTATCAAAAAAGTCGAGGACAATCAAATCCAAATGCTTGCATTAATCTTAAAAACCAGCATGGCCTGTATAGTGTATTTAATCACGCAAACTGCAGGCTTGTTGCAGATGAAGTCCTTTTGTGTATTCTCTGACGAGGTCCAACATATAATTTCTCTGATTCCGCATTCTTACATTTTATCCAAATAAAACCTTAACTCCATTTTATAAAGACTTAAGTGCATGTACATGCGCTATTTTCGTTCCCCTTTATATGAAGACAAAAATAAATTATTGTAGGACATTTTTCATATCCATTGCCCATGTTATTTTTTGCTCTCCTTTATATTACAACAACTGATTTATTGTAGGAATTTTTGCACATCCTTTGCACTTGCGTTACAGTTGTCCAACAGGTGAAACATATGCTAACGAGAAAAAAAATTCTTCAGGGAAATTAAAAAATGTGAAACATGTAATAAACTATGTGTTATGTTTCAGGAAATAGAGAAATGTACGTTATAGATGCTTGAGATTAAGATTACTCAACGGTAATGAAGAATACAGCCAACAACCTTAAAGCCCGAAACATTGGCGAATGGGTTTAAACATGGTTTCGTAATCTTGTCAAGAAGCAAAAAACTATCCGTAAATTAAATTCCAGGAATCTAAATTAGCTTATATGTAATAAAAGTGGAAACTAGCTGTCCAATTATGCTTGTTTATCGAGCTTCCACGAGGGTTTATGAAACAAGGCATATGACCATCTATTTCTGAGATAATGGTTTCCCATTGTTTCTTTTTCACATCCTAATAACTCTCCTTTGGGGCAGTGGATGGATGTAATGTTAGGTACATTACCGCCAATTTCACCGTCCAACAGCTCTCAGCCCGGGCTGATCATGACTGATTGCATTCTACGGCTGATAATTAAGGTGACATCCCTAATTCTCTCATCCATTGGAGTCATCAGCGGCCTCTTTATAAACTTGATGAAGATATTAAAAAGTAATTTTTTCCGGGTCCAGCTTAAGATAAAAACTCATATATTAATTATAGATACGAATGTGGAATAGTGACTTTGAAAGCTAAAAGCTCCATAAAGGCAGGCATTATTTTGGAAATTTTTGTCACTTTTCAATGTCACAGAAGATTTAGTTATGTTTCTGGGCCATTTGCTAATGTTTAATCTTAGCTTGAAAGATTTATTGATGAGACATATTATAAAAATTCATTTATGGTTTTTAATTCAACAATCTATATTTTCTGCATAGTAGGAAATTACCTGACTGGATACCGGTATTTCCAGTACACCAGTATGTCACTGAGAAAATGTTTATCCCTACGCACACTGCATACCTGTATTTATACAGTTATACAAGATTTTTCAAGTGTTATATAAAAGGAAAACATTTGCAAATGTAAATATAAACATGAAAATGTATATATTTCGTATCAGTACGTGTGTTTAAAATTTCTAATGGATTTCATAAACAAAATTACACTGAATGTAAATATATCCATGTAGATGTTTTAAAATGATACTTTATGTCTTAGACAATAAGTTGAATTCATATTTTACTTTCTAGTCAGTAACTTTGTTATTCTTTTGAGAAAATGGTCTGACCATGCGCGATAATTGTTGCACCATGGGAAATCTTCTAAATAGTTTTGAATCTGAAAAATCTATATATCCTATGTTTAATATAACAAAAAATGACGTCAACAATAAAAAAAAAACATTGGTATTGAAATGTTTCAGGTGACGAAATCTGGCACTTAATCACAGAAATCCTATCTTGCAAGAAATTGGCACAAAAAGGAAGTGTTGTTTCTAATGGATACCGTACTCCATGTGTGTCGCTTCTCCTTGGAGACAACGGATATGTGGAGCACGTCGATAACGGAATCAGGTGAGTATGTGACTGGCAGATTGTACTTTTTTATATCAATGGCAAAAATTGTGATTTACAACGATATATGCTGCAAAAATCCGCATACCGGGTACTTTGTCGGTAAAAAATAGCAAAATATGTTAATGGCCAGTTGGGTCGCATAGAAAGATAGCACAAATTGCATTTTAAAATGGAGACTGTCTCTTACAGTTGTGTTTTAAATCATTAGTGCTTTCTTTCAGTGAATTTAATTTAAATTACATGTACTTTTATGTCGCGCTTCATAAATAGTAGGTTACATCACAATTACATTCACAAGACTAAAATAATGTGTAAAAACCTTAAACATTGGGGCGACACAATATGTGCAGGGTATGCACATATAGTCGGTGACATCATATACAATTTTCCAGTCGGCGATAAGTGCCGCGAGGACAGGTGCTTTAAGCTGAATACGACTCGTAATTAAGCATACTCCATTTCGATATTACATAGAGAATATTACATACTTAACAGGGATGGGGTAATTGAATATAGTAATTGTAATTGAGCGTAATTAATTACATTTTTTGAAGTAATTGGAAGTAATTTGTATTTGAGCGAGCCTTCAATTACAAGTAATTGAATGTATTTAAATACATTTCAAAAAAGGCCATGTATTTTCAATTACTTTTCAAATACATTTCAATTACTTTTTTCAAAATGAAAGTTTATATATATAATAAAAAAGGTGTCTTATACTGATACTCAGTTTTTATACTGGTGGGTTTATACTTTATACCTATTACCACTTTTTAAAAATCTCAGTTCTACCTATTCCCACTTGCAAATAACAATGACTGTTTAAAAATTTAATTTTTTTTTTTTACAATAATTAGACAAGTAACTTCATCCCCTTGTAGATTTACCTGTATTCTATTCATTTTAAAATAGAAAATAATGAATGGATCGATTTGTGATAAATATTATTTATTTCCATCAAAAATATGAATTTGAGACAAAAAAGATCTTGCCATACACCATAGTGGTGTGGCATGGTCTTGTGTTTGTACAATAATTAAATGTCTCATTATGTTTAATTTGTTTATACAGTGTGTCACACTGCCCAAGACATTAGATAAAAGGTCTAATTTTGTACAGGTGTGAACCCCTCTCATACCCAAGAAAAAAAACACTGGATAAAAGTTCACTATATAAAAAATCTTATAAAAAAAATCTTTATTTAAAAAAAACTCGAGTAATTGAAATGTATTTAATTACATTTGTCAAAGTAATTGAAAGTAATTAATTACATTTGAAAAAATCAATGTAATTGTAATTGCAAGTAATTGACAAAATTATCAATGTATTTGAAAGTAATTAATTACATTTCAAAGTAATTGACCCCAACCCTGATACTTAAATCCATATCATATGTCATATCAGAAACTGGCCCCATATAGTTGATTTATATGCAGGTCAGCTGATGTGACATATGATGTGGATTTTAGTATGTAGTATTCTAATATCATATATTTAAAATACTTAATATGCGAGATCACATACGGTCGTTGAAGAATGTTTTTGCTAGTTAGTGACATTTTTCTTTAAAATTTGATAGAGCCAATTTTAGGTAACTTGAAAAAAAATTAAGACCACAAATGTCATTAAAGAATTATTTTACGAGAATATTTGAATAAAATCAAGTAAATTAACTTTAAACTTAATACAAACGTTACTTCCGGTTTGATATGGATATTCGGCCCGAAGCTACGAGATATGGCTTTTCGGACCGGTAGTGATATGAGGTATTGTGACGTCATATCACAGTGCAGAATCGGTGTTTTACTACTAAGTATATGATAATATCCAATATCAGTAGCGGCAGACAAATATATATAACCTTAACGCTACAGATCTGCAGCTAGAATATCAGCACCAGGGTAAACTCCTCGCATTCGTTACACCTGACTGCTTTATTGTCACGGGTATCGGTATGGAATGGCGACCCGCGTGTTCGTTTAGGTTATCTTGCTGAATGTATTACCTTTTTTAACATTTTATTGCAGTTACATGTATTTGTCGTTTGTATACTGCTTTGACCTGTGCAGCTATTGTAAGTTTCTTTGGTATCTTACTTTCCTGCATAAGGATAAGCATGTACAGCTATTTTTGTCGCTACTGAGTGATGCACAGTGTATATACTAGCATACATCCGTCTACACCGGTGAAGATTGATGACACTGAACAATGACTAAGTCAGGTCCTTTGATGTCGGTGAACGGTGTTAGCCGTGGTTATTAAAAATAGAAAATTCTGCTTGAATATTCGCCGATAAATTATATACAAAACGACATGCACATTATATCTCCGTCCTTTTTGATTATGAGAATGATTTTTAACAGGTACACGTATGATGTCACGAAATGTATGTTCTCATCTGGAAATGTCACCGAAAAAATTCGTGTTGCCAACTTTTGCTGTGAAGGAGAAACTGTAGTTGATTTATATGCAGGTCAGTAAAGAATGAAGCCACAATATTGACTGTAATATTTTTCAGGAAAATTAGGGAAATCACGCGTACATATATCGCCTTTTTAAAAATAATGATTCGTCTTTCCTTTCATGCTGCAAATTTCCAACTCCTCATTATAGAAACTTGCCAATTTGCTACTAATTTTTAATCACTGTAATTAAGAGCCTATCGTCCTCTCCAGTTTTACTATTGCTTGAAGCTACGAGGCTGAAGTAGGTATCAAATTAAGCTTCATTTGAAGAAAAAATATTTTTCCTCTTCCGAGATATATAAAATATTAAAATAATATAATATACTTTCATCATTTTATTGTGCAAAAATCTTGTAAAAGGAATTTTTGTACAAGATTCAGTAAATAATAAGATGAACTCCGAGGTTGGCAAAGGCTTTTAATTATAAATCTTATAATAGTCTTGAAAATATCAATACTTGCATTGTTTGTTTTTTTGGCATAAACTATAGCTTTGTTTCCTGAATGAAGTGCCTATGAATATAAAATGAAAATTTCTGATTTTGTCAAATTTTACTGTGGGTAAACATCGATACTCGTTTTAAATTAATTATTATCTCCTTAGTTCTTAATCTTTATCCATGACCATCTTTTATATATCGAGTTGAATTCTATATAAGTAGCATTTTTTTGTCGCCTCGTACCTTCTTTTGTGATCCTCACAACAAAAAGTGCTTTAATGCATTTAACAAAGATACTGTTCGAAAAGTCAATGTTCATACAACGACTATTTCATTACATCAACTTAATTTGTATTCGATCATTCTGAGCATGCTGCTGTCCCTAAAACCATGTTAATTTCTTTTTACAATGGTCATTTACTATTAGATTTTTGGGACTAAAATACTTTAAATAGATTACATGGGAAGATTTTAGCAGCTATAGTACGGTGCTACTTGGTCTGACTTAACTAGAATATTATACGTACATTTCAATGATTTTCCCACTTCGAACACGTTAAGGCGTTTACCATATTTAAAAATATCTTCTCCACATGTTTTCTCTATGTATATTATATTTCTAACGCACTTTCTTCACTAGAATATTCAAAGTATGAGCATACTCTATCTTTATGACAGGTATTGGATATTTCACCTTACCCTACTTAGTTCACAGCAAAGCCCGCTTTGTTCACGCTTGTGAATGGAACCCGGATGCTGCAGAGGCGTTAAAGAGAAACCTTTGTCTGAATGGAGTGGAGGATAGATGTACGATTCACTTCGGAGACAATCGAGAGGTTGTGTATTTACAGGAATAATGCTTGCCTATTGACATATTTCTCTCTTGGTCTTGTAATGCTCCCGCTCCGTATGTGGTTCATCCTTTTTGAAAGTACAAAGTATTATGTAATGACATATGCAACTCTTGATTTGTAAACTTCTTCCCTCGAACAGCTGTGATCATTGAAACAGTCCTTCTTAAACCATTATTACTTTCAAAATATATGTTTTTTTTTTAATATTAACTAATGTAGTTCGTGTTTACAAATTTTATTTTTAAACAAGATGTGTTTGTGAAACACTATGCGCCCGGCGGTAACAAAGTTCGGAAAAAGTTATTTTTAGCATTAAGGTCACAGTCAAGGTCACAAGGTAATTGATCTTGGTGTCATTTGGAAGAACCTGATTAGTGGAGTTTGAATACCAAATATGAAGTCTCTATCTTTCATGGTTCAAAAGTTATGGCGAAGGTTAAAGTTTGCAGAAAAAAGCTGTTTTTAGCATATAGGCCACAGTCAAGGTCACAAGGTCATTGACCTTGGTGTATTTGAAAGAGTTTTAAACATACCAAATAACTATATTTCATGTTCAAAAGTTATGGTGTAAAGTTCGGGACAAACAAACAACCACAGACAGGACGAAAACAATATTGGATTAATCCGGGTGCATAAAAATAATGAAATGTATATGTTTAATACTACAGAGCTGTCCAAAAGACATTGCGGATCGGGTTAATTTAGGATTGATTCCGTCGTCAGAGCCGGGTTGGGAAGTGGCCTGTACAGCCTTAAAGAAGTGTTCAGGTGGAATTCTCCATATTCACAGTAATGTAGAGAGCCGAGAAGTGAAAATAAACTCACCTGAAAATTGTATTGGAGAGTGTTCAAGAGACAATACTGTACACAACTTCAAAGACCTAGACCAAAACTCAATTGACACAGAACAAAATATGTGTTCATGTTCAAGCAATAATGAAAAGTGTTCACAGGAGTCTCTGAAGACAGCAACAAAGGAGAAATGGAAAGACTGGTCTGAAGGGATTTCCAAGAGCATTAAAAGTATTTTGGAAACGATCCATTCACCAAAGCAATGGAGGACAATTATTCTGCACATAGAACATGTGAAGTCTTATGCACCTCATGTGGACCATCTAGTCTTAGATCTTGAATGTAGACCTATTTGAATTTTTTTCTCTATGACATAAATGAAATATTGTTGATATATATTTTATTTTCTTTCAAACTTATCACAAATACATTATGATTTTGGGTTTGTTTAAGTATATACTGGATTATTCTCGCCTTATCACTATTGCCCCGTTTTAAATTCGCCAAGAAGAGATATTATTAAGGATCTTATTCTGTTTTCCTGGAATTCGCCCCTTTTAAATTCGTGCACTACTGAAGAGAGCGAAAGGGATGAACATTTTTCCTGTTTACTGCATTTAATATAATAACTTATTTTATTTACTTTCACACGGCGACTAAACTTTACATCCCACACAACACACTTCATGACATCCAGATGTAACAGAATTGCAGTAATTGTTATTTTATTGGTGTCCTTGAAGATCAGCTGATCGCTGTCTTTTGGTAGAATTATTGAGCTATTGAGGTTTTTTTTCCGTTTTGGATGCTCTCGTTGCTTTTGTTAAGAGCTCATATTGTGTTGCTTCACAATATTGCTTGCGATTGCAAATAAAATCCTTCACTTGGGAACCTGTTCTTCTCGATCATCTGAAAAACACACACAATATTACTGGAATCCAGAAATGGCTCTTAATATCTTGAAAACAGATCTGCGTCATAGAGAAATTAATTGGAGATTTTTTTTAGAGCCTATTAGGTCTAGAATTCACTTTTCACTTTTATGAGCTACTGTTCAAATTTGTGGTAATTGTGTGCAATGGTTATTACAAAGATCTGCTCTTTAGAGAAATTCCGTAATATAATTGGTTTTGCGTGTCACATCAGTGCACTGGAAATCTTAATATTCTTAATGTTTATGAAGTAAAATATTAGATTGGGATGAGGGAGGTTCAGATACGTACAAAAACATGTTGCAAAAAATGCTTTTGATTACAATTTAGATGTAAATAAAAAGTTGAGTAGAGTTCGTATCACAATGGTTGTATCGTCCAGAATTCTGGAAAGAAATTAAATGAGGAGGAGTATGAACCGATTAGGTAGATCCGCCCCCCCCCCCCATTTAATACAGGAACTGTGATTTTGACCTCAGTTGTTAAGGTCGGTGTAAAAAGAACTAATAGGTTTGAAATGTGATATCTTTGGGGTTTTTTTCAAACGTGAAACATTTAGTTAAATATAGGTGACAAGTAAGAGTTGTCAAGTTTGATTTTTATTCAGAAGGTCACAGAAGTAGTGTTAAGTCACTTTGATATCGTTTTGTTTGCAAATCGTCAGGAAACAAACGTTTTGGGTCTTTGAATACTCTTACAACAATTCAAGAACAAGTTATGAATCATGCTTTATATGTACGTACGAGATTGAATTTGCAAGATTCCGATTATTACCCGCAAAAAACAAGAGATTTTTTATATATATATACTAAATTCACATACATTGCTGTAATCTGTATATTTATTTTTTAATCGTTATTTTTTAATTGCAAAAAACTTGAGAATAAGCGTATGTATGTATCGTTTATGTCATCGTCGCAAACCATGGCCAAAATGTATGATCCTCTCCCAGGAGTTAGCTGCTTGAGACGATGCGTTACATTTGATAAATCATTTGACAATGTCATTCTTTTATTGACAAAAAAAAATGGTAGTCTAATTAAAGATAAATTCATGAAATTTCATTTTCAAACTCATGAAAAAGACCTTCTCTTGTCGAAGATTTTAAAAGATGTGGGCATTGAATAGAAATGTGCTGACCAATTAATTCGATATACGTTGTACATATTTGAAGGGTTAAAAATTTACTTTCTCGCAACTGAAGAAAAGTTTGATCCCTGAATTGTGAATGGTCTTATCATTTGCGGGTTGACAATACAAAACATTAGTGCATGCATTTATTTTTTTTTTTACAGTACTTGTTTTATTGCATTTAAACACCCATTTTTATGCGGTCGGTGACACACAAGACAATTATTGACAACCATTATAATGCCTCGTCTGTTCTTAAAAGGTAAGCGTCTTAAATTCGTTATTAAATATTCTAATGAAATGAAAATCTTAACACATCTCTCTTTAAAATATTAAAAGCATATTAAAATTGCATAAAATAAAATGTCACTCTGCACTGAAATATATAGAAAAAAAGCTTTCCTTTAATGTTTCTTAGCTGCACTTTCAAAGTTTATTTTCGGTAAAAGAAATTGATCGATTGATGTAATTCTATTTCGAGATAGATAGACTCAATTAATTTTACTGGAGTACACTTCTTTTCTTATGAAAGCTATTAGAATGACATTGATTATTAGATACTCTAAATGAAAGTTCCTTATCATAGATACACGGACAGTTCATAAGCTCAGAGCATTGAGCATATATAAACCTTATAAACAATCCCCAGTATTGAAACCCGGCAAAGACACGTGCTTCTCTGATGTCTCTATTATGTTCCTAGGGAACTGAGATGTGATATTTTGCGAAATGATTTATTTATTTGATCAGGCGTTTCATTGCCACCCGACTTAAGGAAAGTTTTGAAGACGTTTGATGGTAGTGTTCAAATCAATTCTGTTATTCCCCAGGACCGCGAGGTGGGGTTCTGATGAATATTTTCTTAATCCCCTATCAAATATTTGAACTTTAAGTTGAGAAGAAATGTATATTATCACGGGCACCCTGTGTTTTTAAAAGACTTTGCATACGTTTAATCTGAACTACCCTTTTACATCTCCGTGTATTTGCAATGTAAATTGTTACCAAACTTGACGCTGAACGGAGTGAAGCGAACTTTAAAAAATATATCTCTATATAATCCAATTTTTATTGAATGGATGGAAGAGGTAAGTAATAATGATTTCCTTACATCAATATTTACTACCTCAGTATATTCTATTGACTCATACTTGTTCATTTCAGAGGGCGCGATGATTATTTGATGTAATTTGTTGACGAATCAAAATTATACAAATACACCTTAAAGAGTTTTAAATTTCATGGTACTTGGCAAATGTCGAGATTTATAGTTTGTATTAATTTTATGCTCTTTAATTGACACATTAATTCAAAATCTGTAGTTAACTTGAAATAATTCTACGAGTATTTCAGGTGGACTTTTTATGAAGGTTTTTGAGGATTTACATGCTTTTAGGAGGACAGCGAACTAAAGGACTCGGACATCGACCCCCACCCCTAAAAGATTTGGAGGATGTGATGTGAATAACTTCATTTGTGTGGCGTCATGTTTACTTTTATGAACCCGGTAGCAAACTATGTCAGAGAAATTCGAGTACCTTGTAAACTCGAACCGATCGAACGACCCTCGACAACTCTCCCGTTCGTGTTTGATTCTCAGTCGAGTTCTCGAACTCAGTCGCCGCATTCCCCTAGAACGATATCAACGGCACCACCCTTAGTGTATCCTTTTGTAAGGCGAGACATTCCCCCTGTGAAACGTCAGCTTCATCGGGAAATCTTGTACTTCTTTGGACGCAATAAAGAGGTAAATGTATAATAGATATTTACATGTACATGTTTATATATTGCATAAAACCACCAAATATGATGTCAATTAAAAATGCTAGCAATACACAGTAAATGTATTTGAATTTTTCTGAATATTTGTAATTCTCCCCTATAAGAAACTGATACAATTTAATAATATGTCTTTTGAGTAGCAAATCAGAAGTTAGTCCTAGCTTGGATCTAATTTTAAAGAAGGAGGTCATATACAAGCACACAACATTCTTAAATTCATGAATTTAAAGAAAGAGCGAAAAAGAAATACGTATTGAATATCATGAATACTTAATAATTATAGAGTACTAGTTTATGCATACCTATTAATTTCTAAATGTATATCGTTTGTCAAATCAGATTTTTGGGCTATTTCAATCCTTTTGACCTTTGGGCTGAGATACCTAAAGGGCTGCTTGGACTGAAATGAGATGATATTCTCACATCCTCAAGGGACCCAAGTCCCCATGTGGACTCAAGGTCACATGTGAACTGATACGGATCCACTGACGTCAGTTGTAATAATATCAATTTTATAATGTATATTTTTCTCTATTTTGTAGTTTACTAGCAACAGGGATGCTGTCAAATATTACAAAGAATCACATTCTCTAGGTGAGTCCAACACTTCTTACAATCTCTTAGGCTTGGTTTAATATTTTATTAAAATATTTATATAAAACACGAAGAGGCCCTCTTAATGTCCTCATATTTTCCAGAAATAACTGTACATAGTGAGAACCAAATTTACATAGTTAAGCAACATGTACAACTTAGTGAGAGAGGTTGGTCTTCGGGCGGGTGCGTATCATTACCGCTACATTTTCAAAATTTTCATTACCGCTACAAAAAACCTTACATTACCGCTACATAAAAAAGTATACATTACCGCTACATTGCCTCTTTTGTTAGCCAGCCACATATACGTGTACAGTACAACCTATAAATGCATACGACCCGTTTCCCCTGCTCACCACGGGGAGGTGAAAGTAAGACTTTGAGCAGGATGTTTTTAGCTCACCTGAGCCGAAGGCTCAAGTGAGATTCTCTGATCAAAATTTGTCCGTTGTCTGTCGTTGTCGTTGTAGTCGTTGTTGTCGTAGTCGTCGTCGTCATAAACTTTTCACGTTTTCATCTTCTTCTCAAGAACCACTGGGCCAATTTCAACCAAACTTGCCACAAAGTATCCTTGGGTGAAGGGGATTCAAGTTTGTTCAAATAAAGGGCCACGCCCTTTTCCAAGGGGAGATAATCATGAATTAAAGAAAAATTAATGGCATTTTTAAAAAATCTTCTTCTCAAGAACCACTGGGCCAGGAAAGATGAAACTCATGTGGAATCATCCTCTGGTAGTGTAAATTCAACTTTGTTCAGATCATGACCCCTGGGAGTAGGGTGGGGCCAAAATGGCCGATCAAATTTTACATAGGAATATATCATGATATATAGGAAAATCTTTAAAATTCTTTCTTCTCAAGAACCACTGGGCCAGGAAAGATGAAACTCATGTGGAATCATCCTCAGGTAGTGTAGATTCAAATTTGTTCAAATCATGACCCCTGGGGGGTAGAGTGGGGCCAAAATGGCCGATCAAAGTTTTACATAGGAATATATTGGAAAAATCTTTTAAAATCTTCTTCTCAAGAACCACTGGGCCAGGAAAGATGAAACTCATGTGGAATCATCCTCAGGTAGTGTAGATTCAAGTTTGTTCAAATCATGTCCCCCGGGGGTAGGGTGGGGCCAAAATGGCCGATCAAATTTTTACATAGGTATATATAGGGAAACCTTTTAAAATCTTCTTTTCAAGTACTTCAAAGCCATGCTTAGTGATATTTATAGGGAATCATCCTCAGGTAGTGTACATTCTAGTTTGTTCAAATCATGACCCCCTGGGGGGGGGGGGGGTTATAATTCCCCTCCCCCCCAGTAGTAAACTTTCAGTTCTGATCTGATATATGCATTTTCCTAGCCAATTGCTCAGGTGAGCAATGTGGCCCCTGGGCCTCTTCTTTTATTATTAAAATCAATTTTATTTCATAAACTCAAAAGAAAACTATACAATATACCATGGTACCGTGTATATAGACTCGAGTTTCCAAATTAAAATCTCGCCTGTCTGACAAGGTTCTGTACCAATTTCTCCATGGTCAAGGCAATGTAGGCATGGATACAGTACCTCTCTTTTAGCTGGTCCTCGTACTGTGTGGATTCTAGGTTCCTGTCCAGCGAACTCTTCACCATCTCCAGGAAGTATGGGTAATATTCCTCTGGCTTTAACTCACCTGAAACCATGGCAACTGCAGAGTTATTCATATAAATATACTCATTCTGATTAGATTGTGGGTGAATTCTGTCGATTAGAACTCATATACCGAACCATACCTGGCTAAATCGATATGTAGCGGTAATGCGTTGTTTTGGACTGATTCGATATGTAGCGGTAATGAATTGTTTTTGGCCGGAAAAATGTAGCGGTCGAAATTCTGAAAAAAATGTAGCGGTAATGAGTTGAAATTTTTGGCGATGTAGCGGTAATGTTAACCTCCCCTTCGGGCGCTTGGAAGAGTAAAAATGCCGAAGTTAGAAAATGAATATTGACAAAGCAAGCAAATTTAGAGAATTTTTCTCCCCCGCTGAAGGAGAAAAGGGGAAAATGCTCAAACTGGGGGGTGGGTGGGTGGGTGTCGAACCCACCCCCCTCCTTCCCCGGATTTGCAGAATTATTAAATAATGTACTGAAGCAAATAAAAAAATGCAAATATGGGTATAAAGATTTGACTGCTTGTTTTTTAAGAAGATTCTTTTAATATAAAATACTTTTTCACACAATAAAAATTTGTATACGCCTTGCATCATAACTTCTTCATTTCAGATGCTAAATACTATCATGTAGTAATTGAAAAAAAAGTGCAACCGAGATTCGAACCAGGGGCCTTTCGCTTGCGAAGCGAGAATCTTTCCCCTTGGCATTCGACGAACTTAAATCAAACTACATCCAAAAACTATGTCTCATACACATGTTTACATCACGTTCTACATTGTTAAAATTTTACAAATAACCAAGTTTGTCTAATTTACTTTACCCTCTACTGAACCTTTGACTTCAAAATCAATAGGGATCTTCCTTAGGCTATAAGAAATTATTGTGTTGCAAAATCTCAAAGGTTTCTCGAGATATTGCGTGGAAACGAAAGCGTTACGCACAGACAGAATTAACTACAGACAGACAACTAGACGGACAGACAGGCCGAAATTAATATCCCCTCTCTGCAGAGGACAAAATTATCAACTTGTTTTGGAATAAGTGTACAACAGCATGATAAGACATTTTAAAAATGTAGCACATACCCTAACAAAAAAATACTATAGTTAACTATAGTGTAACTATAGTAAATCAAAGTGTCAAAGTTTTCGTCAAAGTTTTTCAAAGTGTCAAAGTTTTCGCCAAAGTTTTTCAAAGTGTCAAAGTGTTCGCCAAAGTTTTTCAAAGTGTCAAAGTTTTCGATAAAGTTTTTCAAAGTGTCAAAGTTTTTCAAAGTGTCAAAGTTATCACTATAGTAAATCAAAGTTTTCAAAGTGTCAAAGTTATAACTATAGTTAACTATAGTAAACTAGGCTTTACTGAAGTGTTCGAACGCTTCAACTCCAGGGAAAAAACAATCAAGTTAAAATTATGTGGCATATGTCCTTAATTGTGTGTGTATAGCCTAGTGGTGTATTATAATTTTTTTGTGTTTGGGGTCTCCAGTTCAACCCCCACCAACCTCTTTTCCACATTTCTTTTCCAGAGTATTTGTTTCGTTTTGCTCTCTCTCTCTCTCTCTCTCTCTCTCTCTCTCTCTCTCTCTCTCTCTCTCTCTCTCTCTCTCTCTCTCTCTCTCTCTCTCTCTCTCTCTCTCTCTCTCTCTCTCTCTCTCTCTCTCTCTCTCTCTCTCTCTCTCTCTCTCTCTCTCTCTCTCTCTCTCTCTCTCTCTCTCTCTCTCTCTCTCTCTCTCTCTCTCTCTCTCTCTCTCTCTCTCTCTCTCTCTCTCTCTCTCTCTCTCTCTCTCTCTCTCTCTCTCTCTCTCTCTCTCTCTCTCTCTCTCTCTCTCTCTCTCTCTCTCTCTCTCTCTCTCTCTCTCTCTCTCTCTCTCTCTCTCTCTCTCTCTCTCTCTCTCTCTCTCTCTCTCTCTCTCTCTCTCTCTCTCTCTCTCTCTCTCTCTCTCTGGGGGAGTTATATTCTCCCCACTCCTTCCAGGAGTAGAGAGTTGAGGAGGCAAGGGTATAAGGCAGGTAAAAGAAAGGGACAAAGTTCCCTTTCGTTTTTTCCCCATCCAATGCCTCCCTCTCCCAGCATATTTTCTCTCCCTCTTTCTTACCCTCTCTTTCTTTATATTTTTTTTATTTTTCTGCTTTACAACATTGCAACACGTTTTCGTCATAGAAAAAATTATATAAGGAAACATTAATAATCATTTATAGTGTTTTAAGTCTGGCATTACTATTATCGCCAAAATTTATGGTACAGGTTAGTTTGATTCAAACTAAATCACAACCAATAATTTCTTATTATGATTTTAAATATTCTTGAAAAATTAATTTTCCAAAGAATCATATGTGTTCATTTATAATCACGAAATAAACCATCGAAATTTGCAACGCATACAAAACGTTTACGCTAAGAATAGAACTACATGTATTGAGTCATGTGCGATTCCAATTCCAACTTAAACGTTGCATGTGTATGTCAGATTTTCGTATTAAAATTTTTTTGCAGCTTTTATTGGTAATGAAAAAGACTGTACATGATATAAACCTACACGATTTTTCACGTGTAGGATGCAGATAGATTTTATTTTACTATAATTTATTCATATGATATGGCAATGAATATTATAAAACTAAATTTAAAAAAAAATTTAAAGTGAAAGTGAACATGTCACTAAATTAAGTATTCTAATTCCTTTTATCGTTGGCGTGCATGTTTCTGACATAAAGGATTTGATATATGTATTACTTGTATTTGGTTTTCTCTACTGATGATTTGGTGTTCACTAAATCGCCTCTGGTGTAACACTGCCACCTTTTCGTGATCTTTCTGAATGGGGTGTCAATTGATTGGTTATTGGACCAATCAATTATAGAGGTTTCTTTTTTATCCCAAGTCATTCGGTTAATTAAGTTTTGAAGTTATGGAGAAGGCGGGATAAACATAATTTTTAAAAATATTTTACGGTAAATTTAGAAGAGAAAAGTAATGTCGGTGTGTATGTGATGTAGTTGCTGGGAAGAGGGGTGAAGGGGGTAGTTTCATTCAATCGGCATAAAAATTTAATGAAACCTAGACTGCATTAATTTTGTTATATTCGAAAAATACGAATTACATGTGTATCTATAAAGATTATAGGACAGATGATACAATTAAAAATCACCTTGAAATCCGAGGTAGATGCAAATTCTATTATCATTCATTACCCCTATAAATATTATATACAGAAATTAGGTATTGTGTCGGATTTCAAGGTGATATTTTTTAATCAGGAACATGTAGATGAAGGATAGTTAGAGACTAAAAATAAAGAAAAAAATATATTAAAATTATGATAATTATTATTTTTTAAAAATCATAAAAGTGGGGTGCATCGTAAAAGGAGAGTCCTGTCCACAAACACCTGTGGTACACTGTATACAGGCCCAGAGATGCCTCTGTTTTCCTGGTTTCGAATCAATTTTTTCAGTCAGTATCGAATTAAGCGTCCTCTATTGTTGCTGACTATAAAATAGTAGATGATGCTCAGATTGGGGGTTGACCCCCCCCCCTTTTCCACGGATTTGCAGAATTAATAAATTATGTACTGAAGCAAACAAAAAATGTAGATATGGATATAAAGATTTGACTGCTTATTCTTTTAATACAAAATCTTTATCACACAATAATAATAGTTTGTATACGATCTTCTTTAAGCCATAGGGAGTTATGGTATAAAATATCATTGCAAAAGCTCAAAGGTTAATCGAGGTATCGTGCGGATCCGAAACTATTAAAACAAACAGAATCTTTTTAAATTTATGACTTTGACCTTTTACCCTTTGACCTCAAAATTGATAGGGACCCTTCTTAGGCCATGGAGAGTTATTGTGTAAATTTCATTGCAAGAGCTCAAAGGCTTCTCGAGATATCGCGTGGAAACGAAAGCGTTACGCACAGACAGAACTACAGCTAGACGGTCAGCAAGACGGACGGACAGACAGACCGAAATCAATATCCCCCACTTGCACTTGTGGGGAGGGGAGTGAGTGGAGAGAGTGGATGGGGGGAGGTTACTGGGATGAGATATACATGTATATAAAATGGTAAAATTATTATTTTTTAATTAAAAAACAAAACGAAACAAATGTGTACTTGTCTTTCTTTTCTTGTAGGAATTTCTGTGAATCTAGACGATGAGGCTTCGCGCCAACTCTTTAAGGTACATTTCTGAAACTATTACACCTCGTCATGTAATTAACAAATATTCATTGGTTTGAGCCGATTCCTCCTTTTACCTGAATTCTTTATTATGACTTTTTTCTGTTTCAGTCTTCTGCACATTGCCCGCGACATCGAATATTATTGAAACATCGCAGGATTGAGAGAACTAACAATTGACGAGGAACTTACGTGCAGAAACCAATCTCACCGTTATTATATAGAAATTGCATTTCTTACAGTTATTTTCCGATATACATTTTTCATAAGTATAGTACTGAACAATTTTTTTGATTCAGAATTGATGAAAAAATGTGTAAATAATTATAGACCTTCAGTCTATTAAAATTTAAGGATCTTTGGTTTTATTAAAAAGGTATTCAGTTTATGTTACTCTATATTTCACCCCTGCAATTGTTTTTGAAATAGTCTGTAAAATCTTAATTTTTTCAAGTTTTGTTAACTAACACATTCGTTTGTGCTTTACAGGAACCATATATATTGAAGAAGGAACTTCGTTATGTACTTGTAATATTTACATCATTTCTCTTTCTTCTGAACATAATACTCTGCATAAAAATGAGTACCAGTTTCACATTGTGTCAGCAGTTGTATTGTAATGCAGAGTTTTACAATTTAATTTTGCCTTTTTGCCTCTCCTCGATGTAGATTTAATTAATATGGTTCATAGGAGTATTGCGTCATAGTTGCAATAATATAACTGGATCTTTTACGGAAGATGTTGTTGCCCTGTGTTCATATCAATTGACGCCAGCGAAATTATGTATCTAGCTCCATTGTACATAACGTCGCCCATCGGTGCATATTGACACCACGGGCGACAATATGTTCCTGCTGAGCCTCATGACACACTCAAAATAGGCGACAAAGCGCACCGTACATGTTGGCACATAATAGGATTGTGCCCAGTGACCATAAACAGGTCCTGATAAATGTCTTGAACATTTTGTTGCCAAAAGGACTGTATTGTTCTGGAGTCAGAGAGGAAGAGCAACACATTCTTGTATTTTTAATGAATTTATATTACATGTTATTTGCATAATCCTCCTTTTTACCGTGCAACGTGTATTTTGAATATACGTGTAAATATTTATAGCATTTTATTGCAGCTGCTCATTAAACATGACAACTGTGTGTTTAAACATTGATTTTTTTCTTTGCGTTATTACTTGCCTGAGTGTAGCAATATTGGTTGTTAAGCCTTGAGCTGAATAAAAAGAAGTAACATATACAATAAATCTTTGTGACAACATCATTAAGAATTGCTACCAGACGGAACATTTGCATGCATTTGTTACAAGGCCATGTCTTATAGAAAACTTCTGCCAACTGTATTCTCATCTTTGCGCAGTAAGAGGATAAGTTTATGACAAATGCTTATAAAAACTAGTTCGATTTGTGTGTATATTTATATCCTTCTTTGTCCGGATTGAAAATCTCTCCATTGCTTTTGGACTTCATGCCTAAGGTTCATAATGGCAAAAGCCAAAGACGTCATCATCTGCATTATGGTACATGCTGCTTGTTATTTTCTTTGATATATTATGTAAAAATAAAATGCTCATTGCCATACCTTTGGTGCAGAAAGGTCGTTTTATTTTCCTTCATTACTACTGTATCTAGATTGCGTATGACAATCTTGCATTGTACATCCATGAATTACATGTACAAAGAAGTAAGGAATTAACCTGCCTAATAAATTAAACATTACTTTTGATTTGATTTGAAAACTCTTCTTGGATATATATAAAAAGTAAAAGCATGTAAGCGCGAACATTTTGTCGCCACCGTCAATCTCATTTAACACCCTAAACAAGATAATCTAAAGTTATCTGACAGTTAACATTTGCGAACATTAATAAATTAAAGTTGAGAATAGCCTTAGATGATCAAATTTGAATCGAATACAATGGAATACAATAAATTTCGAAAAAAATTCCATAATGAAACAAAATTTAAAGTTGATGTTTGAATATCATCGTCGGAAACTCACAGGTGATCTCGTCTTTACGTATCACCCGTGGGTATCCGATGATGTTTGAATAAAAATGTTATACAAAATTGAAATTTTTTAAGGAAATACGTCTACCAAATTTAAGCTCTTAGAAATCAAAATTTTGACTTGAGGCAAAGGTCTTGAGGCAAGGAATTCTAACCCGAGACTCTTCTGACACACACACACACACACACACACACACACACTCACACACACACACACACACACACACACACACACCCTCACACACACACACACACACACAGCCTCTTGTGTTGCTGTTACCGTGGTAGTATCAGAGGAGTCTCGGATTTACGTAATCCGGGCTGTACGTCTAAGTCGATTCGGATGCCTTGATTGATGCAAAAGATAAAACTAGCTAAGAATATGTTCTCTACGAGAGGAGACAGTGCTTTTCCCCCTAGAATATGATCGATTTCTTGGCAAAGAAGGGGTTTTTGGATCATGATTTTCGCAGAAAATGTGATACACCTTTTCCCTCCTGAACTGCTCTCAAAATGAAAATAAAAATTCCAATACTTTACTGTTTATTGCCAGGACAGCACGAGTCATCCTCCATGGCTGCAAGGTAAAATTGGCTCTGAAAACAGCTTTTGTAGCTGCACTGAAAAAAGTCCTTTTTCGACCCCATTTGGCTCCATGGACCATGGTAGAAAGCACCGTTCATATTCCAAAAAATAATTAGCTACGTACTATGAAAAAAGTCGTTTTTCAAACTCAACTATCTAATCCGAGATAAAAATGAAAAAGCCCAAATCACATTGAACGTCCTCAAAGCTCGACCAATCGTATTTCAAAATAGGTATTACCCGGTATATTCTGCTTAAAATGTAAGAGGAGTGAGTTAGTTTGACAGAAGAAAGGGTGGATCGGAATAACAACTATAAACCCGAACTTTCTTAAGGAATCACTGTCTAGTTTGTTGGGTATGCCAGGGCATCATAGTTGGAAACATGGGCTAATTTGCCAAATGGGCGTATGTTAGTTTAAGAGTTGTTGTAAAATACATGAATAGGGCTAGTCTGTCATTTGGTCTTCATTCACTAAAGAATTGCATGAAAATAACTTGTACACTTGTAAAGCTGATGACCATGTATAAAGTTACCTCATGCTCTGAGAATTTGTATTTGGTGAAAAGCTGATTTGATTGATTTTTATTCCTATGAATATAATTTTTGAAGTCTTTAAACATTCGCTTTAAAGAGGAACACACGGCGGATGTGACCGGTCGGTAGGGGATGCTCACTCCTCTATGGCACCCGATCCTACCTCTGACTGTTTAGATACTTTTCTCCTGATTTGTTTTATATGAATGGACTTTTGAGGTTGAAAAATGTTTGCCATCTTCATATATTTCATTATATAAAACAGTTTAGACCAGTGAAAGAAGGTACACTAGGAACAGATTTCTCTCGTTTTGATGAACTAAGCGTAGGACAGGGTATATAATATTGAGCAATTTTCTCCCAAAGTACCTGTTCAGTCGACAATGACTAGTACTTGACGTACTCATTATCAGATAAGACATAGTTACAAGCTAGTGTGTGGGTTTTCTTGACATTGGTTGTTTGTGTAGATTATATACAGAAATATCTTAATACTTGTTGTCCACAAAAACAAGACAGATATAAAATGAGAATCCAGGAATAATTCCAGAATCCTTATCAGTGATTTGATAACCAGATATTAGGAACCTATCATTATGAAAATCTTAAGTGTTGTGAGTATATGTTACCCGATTTCTAAATTAAAAAAAGTTGCATCATTATATTTGAAAAAAGTTTTAACAGCTAGAAGAAAAAAATTCACTGAAGTACAATTAAACAACTTTTCTTTTAAACAACTCTTTAAAAACATCAATATATTTTGGTCCCCTCTATAATTGATTAAAAAAGAACTATGTAATAACGGTTGGAAAAAATTCGTTCTGTTGCAATATATTAAAATCTCACGTCTGTTAATTTTGTAGTTTGATTATTTATATCAAGATAAGTAATATTTCATAATATGAATTACCTGGTAATATAAATATTTTGTATGAAACATATGGAGATAGCGAACAGTAATCAGTATCAAAAGTCCATAAAACAATACAAGAATAGGAGCAGAGCAAACAAGGACCTCCAAAATATCAGAGGTGGGATCACGTGCCATGGAGGAGTATGCATCCCCTGCCAACCGGTCACACCCCCCGTGTGGTCCTTGTCATGATCGGGAAATAACGGAAATATAAGTCGACAATTCAGTGTATAAATAATGGACTAAAAATTAGTATGAAAAACGTCAGTCAGCATTTGACTCAATGATAAATTGTATTTGCTGACAAGATTATTGTATCGACCAGAGAACTTACGAAATGATGACTTTAAACTAGACTGCTGATATTCTTGTTTTATCAACTTGTTTGTAAATAATTTACCCCGTTTTAGAAATTGTTCTTATATAGAGCATGCTCTTGCGTATCGAATCAACTAAGATACATAAACTCCCTATGCAGGTGATGAAGGTATATTGCTGCGTACGTAGGGAAGCTGACGATAGAAAAGTTAAAGTCATCACGTTTATCATAGAGTTAAGTTTTTAGATTACTATTGGCATTAACAATATTTTCAAGTAAAATATCCAAATACGAAACAGATGTGTCAGACTCTGTGGTATCTTTTTATCTCAAGGTCACCAGGATATATCGTATCGGCATAAGAATGGAAATTACCATTGTTACGGGGGAAGGCCTCAGCCAGTGTTTTCTTCTTTTCAAGCATAAGATTTTGCACTAATTCTGCTTCATATGAATACAAAAATAGGTTTGCTAATAATGGGACGCAATTAGTACCCATGGGAATTCCAATATATCGTTGGAAAACCTGCATTGTCTCCAAAACAACATAGATATTGTCAATCAGAAACTCAAGAATTTTTTTGGAAGTCAACTTCAGAGTACTTGTGTACAATGAAAATGCTATTTAACAAAATAATTTTGTAAATGACCAATGACAAGGTAAGTAAATTTACGACTTCCATTTTTATCGAAAAAGCAGCTGTCGGTGATATCGAAAAGCCATGACTTTAATTTATCTTGGGAAATGATTGTGTATAAAGTTGAAAAGTCGTAAGTTTTGAAGCTGTTGATTTTGGTAAAATCTTGTGATTTCAAATTGTCCTAAAGTTCCTTGGAATTCTTAAGTATCCACATCTGATTTACACCACTTCTTGAATACTAGTATATTGTTGCACAATACTCTTAGAGTTTCTCCTTCATTACTGTTTATTTCTTAGTAAGGAGTAAAGAAAGAGACTTGCTTTGACATTTACTCAAGAAGAATTTCATCTTTTTAAAGGACTAAGCACTGCTTACTGAATTCATTTAGTGATTTGTTTCTGTATTTTTAAAACAAGATTTTATTCGGGAAAAAACTTAATTTACTTTTCTTTACACATCTTATCATGAAAACAGGTATTTGATATACATGGTCTATAAGGTAAATTCAGCATCTTCGGATAAATAGTAGTACTCAATTAAATAAAAGATAAAAGCCACTCATGATTATATAGTTAATGGGATGTATCAAGAAAAAAATGTGCTGGTTGCCACAAATTAAGTGGGTCGCTCCAAAGACGTATGAAATCAACTTCTAATCCTTATTCATGAAGGCAATCCACAGTTATCTTTCTTCTTTTGCATTTTACAAGTAATGGTACGATTTGAAGACACCTAATAATATATATGGTATTAACAATAGTTAATGAAAAATATCATTTATAATTATACATTTAATCAAAGTTCCACTACAATAAATTAAAGTCCCCATTGTATTCATAACAGTTAACAAAAGTAAAAAAAAATTATCCCAATAATATATATATCCAATATTTAGGACTCGAAAAAAGTGACATCACATTGTCTGATACATCTGTTCCGTATTAGGGTGTAATAGGCTATAAGAAATAAGTTTATAATGTAAGGACTTCCACAATCTCGTATAAAGTGATAATTTATAAATTCCTTTGATTAATACAACTTTTGTTTGTCATTATACAGTTGTCATTAGGTCGAAAATTGACTGATGTCTTTAATACAAACTTTCGGCAGATACTTTCTACGTAAATATCAACAGAT